ATTTGCTTCCTCGTCCATAGTTATTACAGCTCGTTGGTTTTATACAATAGAATTTTGAATTATTACAATTTGTCGATTATGCACTACATTTTTTTACACGCCACATTCTTAAACATATGTTTTAAACAAAACTAAGTTGATTATGTAATTGATATTAGTTATTTAGAACATATGTTATAAACAAAATCGAGTTCAATATTTAATTCATATTTCAGTTGTTAATAATGCTGTTAGAATAACTGTTTGTATATAATGTATAAAGTGTGGTAGATACTTGGATGGGTGACATCCATTGAAGAGAGCTACGCTGCTTGAGACATCCCTCCCTCCCCCCCACTGTCCCACATGTGAACCCGTCAGAGTACTGGAGCAACGTAACCGACTAAGCATAGAAGTGATCTTTCTACTCTGTATACTTTAATCGGGAATCATAATTTTTCCAGAATGTTAGTAGTCACCTCCCCAGAGATTTGATCCTGGAACGGTCTGTTTCAAAGAAAGAAATATAGGTCCTCAATTGATCCTTAGAAAAATCAGTATTTTTCAAATTTATCTTTTTTATAAATAAATAGTGTATTTAAGCAATTATATTTATTATAATATACCATATTATTGAAAAACAAGAAATAAAAGCTTTGTAGCAATTAATTGTAATCATTTTTTCTGAAAACAGGGGTACTTTTACTTGACAGGAAAAATGAAATAAAAATTGCATCATTTTTTTACACAACCTGGGCTGAATCTTAAGTTTTTTCCTAATTAAACTCTAATTAATTTCCGGACTGAAAGCATATTAAACAAAGAAGTTTTTCTAAAAGTGGGGTATCTGTAGTATAGTCGGACAATGATAAAAAAATCCCAAATAATTTACTTTTTAAATAATTTTAAAAAACAGAATAGCCTAGTTTAGCCACCTAAACGTCCTCTTTAGAATAGTTATAACAGTGACATATTCTATTTTCATTTTAAGTAAATTTTGTCAAGTTTACAGTGAAATAATTGTTAAACATTTATATAGTTATCGACCTCCTATTAAAAAAAAAACATGACTTACTTTAAAAAACACAAAACTTGTATTTTCTACTTTTCTACTGAAAATTAGCCCATTTTATATAAGAACTTTTTTATAGTTCTTGAGGTCTGCTATCATTCCTATAAACATTTCCATCTACTTACGGAACACTCTGTATATATATATATATATATATATATATATATATAATATATATATATATATAGTGTGTGTATACAGGATGTCCTGTAAGAAGAGGGAAATATTTAAAAGATTGATAGTATACATCGAGATCTCCTAGAAAGTTTATATAAATAATTGCCAAATTTCAAGCAGAAAAGTATGAAATTTAAGATATATGTTTTTTTTATGCGAGTCACGTTTTTGTTGAATAGGAAGTGATTACTAAAAACGTATTTGGTTTAATTAAATTGACAGTAAACTAGATAAAATTTTGCTTTAAAAGAAAGTAGACTTTGCCATTTTTAAGACTATTTAAAGAGTATATCTGAACGGACAAACTCAGCTATGTTTCGTTAAAAAAAAAAATCTTAAGTTATTTGTGATTATTATTTTTTTTTTATCATTTTTCAATGGTACCACAGTTACCCCACTTTAAGAAAAACTTTGACGTTTAATAAGCTTTCATTATATATTAATTAAGTTAAGGTTTATCAGGGAAAAATTTGTGATTCACCTCAAGTTCTGTAAAGAAATGATATGATTTTCTATCTAGTCATCTAAAAGTACCTCTGTTTTCAGCAAAATGACTGCAACTAACTGATACAAAGCTTTAATTTGTTGTTTTCCTGTTATATGGGATATATTCTAATAAACATAATTGCCTAAAATTACGTTTCATTTATAATGAAAATTATTATCTATTAAATATGCCGATTAAACAAAAAAACAACAGCCACAAGAATCGATTGATTACTCGATGGGATTTTTTTTTTCTTTCAAGGTGGGAAAATCGGTGGGAACTCATATTTTAATTATTTTTTAAATGTTTATGAGATAACCTTTAGAATTATCTTATAGAAAGACCCATCAGTAGTAAGAGATGAAATGTAAAGGGTACAATTATCCAAATGGAAATATGGGAAAACTTCTATTAGGCCATTCTATAAATTATATGCAATTTAAAATATGAAATGAAATGAAGGAAATAGTGGGGAAAAATATGCTAAAATCTTTCTATGATAAAGACTTTACAGAAACAAGAAGTATTTCATTATTTTCAAGCATTCAGAGGAAAAGCGTGAATTAACTACTTGTCAGTCACTGATATACTTCATACACTGATGCCAATTATGGGATTATGGAATGCCAATTATGCTAAGAGTTATTAGCATTGAAACTTACGATTCTGTTTACTTGATAAAATAATAAAATTAAATGACCATTTATAGTTTATTATTTCTCAACCCAATTAATTAGCTTAACAGTGAGCCCTTATTCTTAATTTATATTGATTTTTTTTTTTTTTTTTTTTTATATCATTCGAATTTCAAGATCTTTTATAAAGATGTAAGGTATAATTATGTTTTGTAAGTGGAACCCGTGTTTGTCTACCTGTATTTCTTAATCCAAATTATTAATTATTTTACTAATACGTATTATTTCTAAATATTATGGGATCAATACATAGGAGTAACATTACCAATCACATCTGCTGAAAATTTTGGTTTCAGTTTAAAATAATATATTCAGTTTGAATATATTTTTAAAAAATATTGAAATTAATTCCAATTAAATTGGTTTATTATCGGTATTCCCATTTACACTTTTCATTTATAGGAAAGAAATTTACATAGTAAAAAGTATTACAGAAATAATAAAACAAAATAGAATTAACTTCACAACTGCACAATTTTTAAAACTTTTAAACTAAAAATTTAATACCTTTTATTAGAGGAGCTGTTTCTGTTCAAGATTTTTATTTTCTTATATATACATATATATAATATTTTTCCAAAAAAATTAGTAAATCTAGTCAGGATGTGCTTGACGGAAACACTCAATAAAGTTAGAATCGCTTATAATTTATTAATATTATTATTATTATCATTTATTACCGAAAAGTTTGAGGTTCGTTCGAGTTGGTTTGATTTCCTTTCACCTGTCCTGTTCAATTTGGTATTAGAACATGCCATTAGAGAGGTAATGTGTGGGTGGAACAACACCCGTGCTTGGCTTTATGGATCTAGTCCTGTTAAGCGAAGACACGGATGAATACGACAATATTAATGAAAGCCGGTAAAGAACTAGGGCTCGAAATAAACACGGATAAGACAAAATATGTGGTTAGCTGCAAAAATGGCAATATTGCTGGTGATATAAAAGGTAATATGTTTGAACACGTAGAGAAGTTTAGGTATCTAGGGTCTACGATAACTAGAAAAAACGAAATTGAAGAGGAGATTAAGGTGGGAAATGCCTTTTATTTTTCTGTGGCAAAACTACTTAGCTCACACCCCTTGTCCCGGAACTTAAAAACTCTTAAAACGGAACTTAAAAGAATCTATAAAACCATAATCTTACGTATAGTTCTTTATGGATGCGAAACGTGGCGGCTTACATTAAGGGATGAGCAACTTAAGGTTTTTGAACCTTTTGAAGATCTTTTGTCTTAAGGTTTTTGAAAATAAAGTATTGTTAGAATATTCAGACCGCTGAAGGATGAGTTAATTGGAGAGTTCAGACGGTTACACAATGCCGAATTGTGTGAAATGTATCCGGTTAATATAATTGAGGTGATTACATCACGGTGAATCAAATGGGCTTGTAAAACTGTTGGGCTTAGTAGCAAAAGAATTCCTAAAATGTTAATATTTGCTGTACCGAATGGTAAGCATCCGAGGGATAGACCGAAACGAAGGTGGAAAGATTGCCAATCTGAAGGGCCTGGGTTTGGAGGGAGGTGTGTAATTAGAGATGGGTTGTGTCGGCATCGAACCTTTGGGTTCGCTAAGCCTTTTATTATTATTAATATTTTAAGGTTTGTGAATTTATAAGGCTTTAATTTGTAGAGATTTTTTAACATGGTTATTTAGTATAATTAATCTACATTTAAGTAGAATTATACCTTTATCTGGCTGTAATGTTAATTGTTGTCCAAGAAACATGTCATTTTAAGAAGAATACAATAGCTACAAGAATTGAACAATAACTTGTTCGGTTTATTTTTTTTTTTTTTCATGATAAGAAAAATGGGTATAAATATCATGTTCCATCCCATAACTGAAACTGAATAGATAGATGCTGGAGCAGTGAGGATTATATTTTCGACCATCAGTGCTGCCTCATTTATTTGTTCAGTCTCAAGTAAAACACTTCATAGGTCCCATAGTCGTAGGCCACACTATATTGCATTCGACGATTTACATTAGTATGCTCCTAGAAAAGAACTCCTTTATGACTATGAATTCTTAATAAGATATACTTTTTTGACTTATGACGGGGTTATCACAAGAAAAAAAAATATTAAAAACAATTAATTTTTGTTATATATTAAAAAATTATTTACATAACACAAACTTTTCATTTGATACAGTTTGTTTTCCTGAGACTGATCTATTTGATACCATCGTATCAGCACATGTTTCACAGAAGTTGATAGTCCCAGAATTATCAGGCCTCGGCTTCTTTAAATATTCTCCTCAGTTCCTCTCCACTTTTGCCTTCCATCTCTATTTAGTTTCACTAGTCTTCTATATATAATACTTTTTACCTCTGGCTTTAATGACCAACTCCTCTTTTACTAACTATGGTGCTCTACTATCAGACTTATTATAAGTCTCAACCATTCAGCATGAATTAATAAACTGGACCACATGGACATCCTCGTACAAAGGATACAGTGTGACTTTAGTCCAGAGCCTGTATAAGGACTCTTCTAATCAATAAAAAAAAAAAATTAACTTGCCTGGTGAATATAAACATATAAATCTTAGGACACCATTTCTATTTATATCATTTTTTCCAGGTGGGTGGGATGTTACGATGTTGTTATCATCGGTGGCGGTATAGTTGGAATGGCAACAGCTAAGAAATTATTAGAGAAAAATCAGAATGTGACTTGCGCAGTGGTGGAAAAAGAAAATAAGTTAGCGTGCCATCAGTCTGGTCATAATAGCGGTGTCATTCATGCTGGAATCTATTATAAACCCGGATCTTTAAAGGCGAAACTATGTACTGAAGGCATGAAACAAGCTTATGATTACTTTAATGCTAAAAACATAACTTACAAGAAAGTTGGAAAATTAATAGTTGCTACGTGTCCTGAAGAGATCCCACTGTTAAATGATCTGTACATGAGAGGTACGCGTAATGGAGTGCCTGGTTTGAAGATGGTTGAAGGAAAAAAAATAAAGGAGATCGAACCTGCCTGTACTGTAAGCTTATTGGTATATATATTTAATTACATTAGTCTAAACTTTAACATTCTTGAGAATAGTAGCACTGGATCCAATTTGGCCTGGGTGGGTTGAAATTTATTTCGTGACCAGTTTAGAAAACGAATCATGATCTTCCCCCTCCAGTTAGAATAGGTTGGGTTGTACCTATAAAACAACCCCCGCCTTTGCCCTATATACCTATATGCTTAAAATGGTGAGGTAGGTGATGAAATAACTATCAGATTAATGTATTCCTTTTTTTTATTATTTAGTAAGGCTAAAGGAAGGAGCCCTTTTCAATCAGATTATATATTTAAGATTTAGGACTTGAATATCCCATGGTTGCACTTCACCATCCAAATTATACTTATTTGCTTTCATTATAAATTAAATTAGTAAACAAACCTACTAGTTTCTGATATTGCTTCCTAATGATGTTCCAACAAGGCATTCGATAAAGAAAAGAAGATGGCTTAGCAACCTTCTAATGTAAAACTGTTATTGGATATTCACTAAAGTCCCAAAAAACTCTAACCAATTCCTCTTCTTATCTTCCACCATTGCTTTCTTGATAATTCCCGACTCCTTATCTATCATTTTCTTTAACATCCACAGTTTCCAATTAATTATCAACTTTTAAATTTACTTAGCAATAATATATTGTAAAAGGAGGAATAAAATACTTTATTTTTGTTGTTATTATTATTACTAAATAGATGATAAAATATTCTACTGAATGCATATCAATTAAAATAGAATATCTAATATAAGTAAATACCAGATAAATTATGTTAATGTACATTAAAATTCTATAAATTATCAAAATTAGACATATACAAATTTTTTAGTGTAATAAAAAAAATATAAGATATTTGTCCCCAGCGTTCATTCAAATGGGCCTTAGGAGCTAAGAATACAATTATTCAATTTAATTTATAAACAAATTGTTATTTTTTCATTGACTTTTCTTTGCCTGTATTTATAGTTTATTATATACTAAACAATTTTTTATTTGTGAACAATAAGAAAAAAGATTACAACTTACAAAAATCAAGACAATTCCAGTAAAGTGAGCAAGTAAATTTTTGTAATGAAAAAGCAACTTGAATCTTTTTGTAGTTTCCTTTAAAACTCTTAAATACGAACTTTTATATAAATCAAAAATAGAAATTTTATTATTTTTCTTGGAGGATTTTTTTCCATCCATCAACTAAAACATTCATAACTCCTGAAGACCTTTTACTAAAAATTGGTGTTTACGATTTTATCAGATGTGAAAAACGAATATTCTCCCTTAAAAAATATTTATCCTCGCATTACTATGTTGGTTAGTCTAATTGGTTTTAATATTGTACTAATTCTATTTGTGTGATTGGCGCTGATGTCTTGGATATTTTGCACCCAAACATCAAAACAACCAACCTATTGTTATGTGCCAAATAATCACCAAAACAAATTCGATTGAAATCGGTCACCCACTAACTGTAATCTTCCCTTGTGAGCAATAAAAAGAAATACATTGGGATTAAAAATACATGTTTTAATAGAGCCAACAATAGATTTGTAATAGATTAATAACAGTCAAGTGATTGTGCATCCTACAATTATTAAGATTTTTTTTTGTAATATTACGAAGTATATTTAAAAAATCAAAAATGTACACAGAACCCTAGAATCTTAATTAACATTTTTCTTAGTACTTATAACTTATTATTCATTACTTACTATCATTTTGTTATTTTTTTTTTGTTTTGTTTTTAAGTTTTATTATTATCCTAGAGAGAAATACTTTATTGAAAGTAATGCTGCCCTACTACATAGGGTTGCTTTACACAGCATACGGATCAGTGCATATGGACATAATTCATACATTACACATTATTCCACTACTACATATATGTATCTTTATTTATTTTATTTTTTACCTTCCCTTTTCATAATAACAGTCCTTAAGTTTTAAGTTTTATCATTACTAAATTTCGCGTAAGGCAACAAAATTATTGTTTGTAATTTTACTACTAATTGTAACTACAACTAATTGTAAAGGAAAATACCTCAATACTAACTGTTGTTATTGTTAATTATTTTATTTATCAATTATTTTTTCATGATAATGGCCATCTAAGGACCGCATATATAATTTCTCGGCTTGCTTATTAGACCATCTTCTTTTCTTTTCTCACTCATATTCTCTCATTCGCTCATCTGTCCATTTTTTGCCTTTTCTCGTCTTCTTTTTCACTGCAATGATCTTAATGTATTTTTAGAATGTTTCTCTGTCCTGTATTCTTTTTCTGTAATACCTGTTTCTTCTTTTTTTGTCGAATATCTGTTTGTTCAATCTGTTTTCATTCATTCTTTTCATTTACTCATAAAATTTTAGTCTCCTTTTTCTCATTGCTGTTTCCAATTCTTCAATTCATTCATAAAGTTCTTTTTTTGTTATTTGAGGTCATCATTCTTCTCCTATCTTTCTTGGTCCGTGGATACTTCTTAGGATTTTTCTTTCAATTTTTAGTAGTTTTCCAATATTTATTTATTTAATAAGAAACAATTACTTAAAACTAAAAATCAATAATTACAGTCATGCATAGAAATAATAATTTTATGACCTATTCAAATTTTACTTTTAAGTAAAATTTGTCTCACTTAATAAATTTAAATTAATTTTTGTGAGGATTATATAAGACAACAATTTTTTTTAATAATAAATTCATTTCACTAATAATTTTAACTCATTGCGACTATAAATAATTAATATGATACCATTACATTTTTTACCCATTTAACTCTTATTTAATAAGATAATCTCTGCTTGACAGTTGTTTTATTTATTTAGATGGTTATTTTTCTCTTATTAAAATTTAAAATTAGGAAATCATTTAAATGCTATTAATTTCTTATATTCTAAGACTGTCATGTTATATATTATTAAAAAGATTGGAAATTTAAATTGTAATTGTATTCCATACATGTTGATTACAGGTTTCAATATGCTATTCAACTGATTTTAAGTTTTTAACTGATTAAACTCAAAATTAAACTGATTTTGAGTTGAGACTTCCGCATTTTATTTATTGAAGCTATTCCATCGATAAATAGCTTCTTTATTTATTTATACATTATATATATTTGAAAAAAAAATTATACTTAGTGCATCATAATTACTATTTACAGGTGAAACTGGTTTATAATGGAAAAGTGGATATATTCAACAATGAAAGAAGGTAATTCTTTTCCGATCATAATGTATGAATTCATAATTCACATTTCTATTTCAAATAACTTTTTGTCATGGATTTAACCAACTAATGTACCAATTTTAGGCCTCGCAATATTGATTTTTTAAGTAAACTTAAATTATTATTATATAAATATGAAGTTGTAACTTTTTTTTCTATATCGTAATATCATAAAATATCTATGTGTATTTTTTTCTTCTCTGACTGCACCACCAACCAAATTTTGTATAAAATATGAATGTACTAAAACTTCTGACAAAATCAGCTCATCAAATTTAATTTCTTATTTGACAAACTGTTATCAGATCATTGTTGGTCGCGTTCTTCTGTTTTGTTTATTAGAAATAGAGAAATTAGAATTTAGAAACCTAAATCTTTTTACCTAAAATCTTTAATCTGTTCTTAACTTGATGTTAACTAGAGATAAATAACTTTTTTAAACAATTTATAACTAACAACATTTAAACCTAAAATTATTATTGTTTGTTTTAAGGTTTCAATAATTATGCTGTAAAATACCGAATTGTCAAAAACACCATCATAAAATTGTCTTTGCATTTTTTTTTTAATGATTCATAATGAATACCAATGCAATCACTGCAAATTTACTACCGTAAATATGTAAATGTTAGAGACTAAATTTACTTAATCTATGATTCATTAAATCATGAAAAAAACATTTAACTTATTCTTTTCAGTAATTTATGATCGAAACCATCGCTGGAGATGTTTTCCTGCTTAGGTCAGGACTATATCCGTTTGTGATATTTAACTCGAATATTTATGCTTACACTATCAACAAAATAATATAAGTACTATTTACCGGACCAATAAAATACTCATAAGGTATCAACTTAAAACGTTACACGGTCGTTATACATTATAATATATTAAATATTGCACTTGATAAGTAAATTCAGTGTGTTGATAATTTTATTTTTGTTACAGCCGAAACATATATTCAAGTTCATAATATTATCTAGGTACACTTACATGTTTTACTACATCGCGTAAATGCTGAATATCACTAACCTGAAACAAAAAAAATGTATTGCTTATTTTTTATTATTATTTATGAAATTCACAACTGTACAAATTAATATACATGAATGTGATACAGAGAAATACATGACATGACAAGGCTTGTAGAGAATCTACTCATTGGTAGCGCTTTAATATCATTGCTTAGGTACTTCTGAATTGTTATTATATATAGATATAAAATGAATTATAATTGACATATTTTTAAATTGATAGGTATATATTAATTTAGAAATCTGAGCAAAGAAAAGATAAAAAAAAGTTATTTTTTTAATAATTATAATATTTTATTCTTTGACTTCTAAGGCCTATTGGAACCAAATATATAATATTTTTTGGATGTAGAATCACCAAAATATTTATATAGTTAAAATCGGTGACCCAGTGGCTTTGACCTCTTGTTAGTCTGAACCAAAACCGTGTAACTATCGACCAATCAACGCTATTCAGTTCTACATACACAGTACGCACTAAAGAAATTGATGATATGTTTATTAATTGATTGTATGCTAGAAAACGGTTGGTGGATTTGTTTTTAAGGAGCAGAACGATATTAAGAATTGTGTACCCCAAAATACCTTGATAATGTTCAAATTCCACAAACAGATAGATTACTTAAACTGATATGGACTTTCGGTTTACAGATACGGAACAGATAAAAAGAATCATGCACAGAAACTTAAAATATTCTGATCAAAATCTAGCAAGACTGACAGCCAAATTTCCACAGTACGTTGCATACCACCTTTAGCATACCAACGATAGCTTATAAGTTTGAACTAACTCACTCTGTCAAGGCAAAGGACACAATCTGTTCTGCTTGGGATGGTGAAAAAAACAAACAAAAAAAACTGGACGATGTTTCTACTTGTCCAACTGTATTATGAAAGAACAAGATAAGAAGAGGCACTGATGGTTATTTCTCTCTCTATATATTGCCCTTCTTTTTATATTATTCGATAATAAGCTAGAATATACATTGGTTGTCTATATTTTTGACTAAATTGAATGAAGAAGGTTAAAAAAAATAAAAAACAAAAATCTATAACAAAATGCCTTTTATATTGCATAATATACAATTATATTGTTTATATACACAATAAATAAATATTCTGTTTGATTCAAAGAGGACACTAATGTATGCAATATGTCTTGTACTTCTTAGGTAATTGTGTCGGCAATATTAATTGGAAATAACAAAAAATATTTTTTAAGGGCGTATTTATAAATAGGTAAATATATAATGAATTTAATTTGATATATAAGAAATTTCTAGAGTACTTAAATTCTTAGAATATTTTATTCATTTAAATAGGTTTTTAAACAAAATGTATTTCTTTGTCTACTTCATATTCAAACTACCGTAGTAATGTTGGCAGTATTAATTTCTATTAAAATTACTATTAGATATTTTTCAAGTAAACATTAAGCCAGATAATGTACATGAAGTTACCCATAGGCTCCTAGTCACTTCCTTAATATTTCCTCACTTCGACTATTGCTGTTCAGCATATGGGGGCGTCGCAGAGGATCTCAAGGCAAAACTAAAACATTTGATAATTTGCTTTGTACTATTCATCTTCGGGAACCCATTGGACTCGTTTTTATGAAAAGTTGAAGTCGCCTATCCTTCCGTCCTACGTATTTCGTGGCATCCTTCCTCTTCCAAGTCATCCGATCCGCCATCCTTCATACTTCTCGGAGCTCCTTCAATTCAAATCCTCTGTTCATTCCAGCAATACTCGTTATCAGATTTATATAGTCTCAGCAATACCAGTCTTCAGATTTATATACAAGGGCCCACCGAACCGCTGCTTTCAACAAATTGTTCATTATCCAATCCTCATTCATTTGGAACTCCGTCTCTTTCTTCATCAGTTACTCCAATACCCTCTCTACCTTTAAATCTCGGCTGTTCAATCATTTCTTATCCATCCAGTCGACATAAAATTCTAAATAGATATTACTATAAATGTAAATAGAAATTATTAGATTGTTCTTAATTATTTTTACTTTGTGTTTTATTCTTCTTAATGGATGAAAGTTAGAAAAAAGTAACTTATACTTTTTTTTATGATGACTATTTATTTACTTTGTAATTATTTTTTTATGTATCTCTGAGGTTCCATAGCCTACAATTCTGTCTTTCTGTATTATTCTAAAGGAATTTGTCCCAGAATAAATAAAGTATTATTATATGATGGGTGATAAATAATCAGAACGCAGTAATTTTAAAAGTTTTTATTGTTACCGATGTTTCATCCCAGGCATGAATCATCAAGCCTAAAAATTGTTTAATACAATCAGAGATATAGTATTATAAGACAGATAATTTTTAATAATGAAAAATAGTGATGGATGATACATGAAATAGACAAATGAAATATGTATTTCATGTATCATCCATCATTATTTTCATTATTAACCATCATCAGTCTTATAATATTATACCTCTGATTGTATTAAACAATCTTCATCCCTGATGATGACCTACATGCTTGAGTTGAAACTTCGGCACCAGTAAATACCTTAAAAATGACTGCGTCCTGACTATTTATCACCCATGATATGTAGAACAGTCGACTAATGATATATTTCCTTCAATAATATTATAATATTATTGTTATTGAAGTCAGAACATCGTAATTACTCTCTAAGAAGACTTTGTACCACAATTAAATTATTTTTTATTTCATGAAACTGATTGACTAAAAATGTTTAAACATTAAAAAAAAAATTGTTTTAAATAGATTTGATACAAAGTATGGTTATTACACAGATATTTCAAATTATATCCTATTGAATTATAGGTTGTTTTCATCATAACAAGTCAAAATGCTTAAATGGAATTACAAAACCAATAGCTTGACCAATCAAATTGTCTACTAAGTAGAACTCAGATCTTTCTATAAATAAAGAAATCTCATATAAAACCATTCCTTAAACCTACCTGGACCTTAGGATTTAAATCTACAAAAAATATTTTAATGGAAAACCAACATTTTACGTACAAGAGCATTCTGAAACCTATGAACTCGAATTTTATAAAATTGATTTAGCATCCAAGAATGAGCATTCAATCCCTATCCATCTTCATTCATCCCTATAATTCAGATCAAAGACCGAAAGAGTATTTGCCTTATATCTTTCATGAGAATATGACCATGAGAATGCTGATGATGGCCAGGTTTTTACCAGTGGATAACAAAGTATATTTTACCATTACACTCTTACTCAACTTAAATTTAAGTACTTGATGTAGAGGCATGACAATCTTATCGTATTGAAGGTATTGGTGTAATTATAATAGGACCCTGTCACAAGAGAAATAAATCACTTCTCATAATAGGCCACAATCACTTCGCATAATAGGCCACCTAGAGGCCGCAGTGCATTCTTGTCAGAAAAAAAAAATGGGTGTAATTATAATGAGAGCAATTATCACTATTACCTTATGTATGTATTAATTGCGGTAGGCCTTATTATTCACTGATAAAAATTGGAAAATATTCAGTTCGTTATTAGTTTTTTTTTTTTTTTGTGAACATATAAATAACAGAGATATTAATATATATTTTTTTAAATGTTATTATTTATGTGTATTTTTAAACAAACAATTTTTTGTGTTTAATAATATTTTACAAACATATGCATTATGAATTATTATTTTTTTCAAGGGCTTAAGAGCTATTCACTCACCTCATACAGGGATTGTAGACTGGGGTGTTGTCACGAAGCACTACGGTGATGATTTCAAAAGTAAAGGCGGAGACATATTCCTCAACTTCAACGTCTGCGATTTTCAACTGGAGTCTGAAAGCAAAGAAATAGCAGACATCAATAAATATCCCATCAGAATTGTTTCTTCTGATAAAAAGGTAAGCATTTTGAATAATTATAAAACTATTAGTAATTATTAGTTAATATACATATCAATGTTTAGTTGTTTAATTTTAACTGACACATGATATAAAAGCCATGAATTTAATGTTTTTAGATATTTATTTAGTTTAATCAAGAGTTTTTTTTTTTTCTCTATTTTCAGAGCATAAATGCTGGATTTGTTCTGTCATGTGCTGGACTATATTCTGACAAAGTTGCAGTCATGTCTGGTGGAAACAAAGATCCATCTGTCGTTCCGATCAGAGGTGAATATTTATTACTAAGCAAAGAGAAGCAAAGATTGATAAAGGGTAATATTTATCCTGTAAGTAATTACAAATGATAAATTAATCCTGCTTTCTATTTATGAAAACTTGCTTTATTTCATATTTTTATACTGTTACAGGTTCCTAATCCAAAATTTCCATTTTTGGGTGTACACTTTACTCCAAGGCTTGATGGCTCTATTTGGCTTGGGCCTAATGCAATTCTAGCTTTCAAAAGAGAAGGATACACGTTAGTAGAATGATTTTTAAAAATCTCTAATTAATATTTTAATTTTATGATAATTACCACCATTTATTTCACTAAAATAAATCGTCAGGTTCATGTTGCATGATTACCTGATGTTCCCAGTCATTCAGTTCTTCCACCTTCCCTTTAACATTTAGTGAGGTATGATTTCACAATAAAATCTTCTATCATCAGTCCTCATTACGTGTCCTAGCCATTTGATTTGTTTAACTAGTTCAAATTCTTCATCCTCATTGTAAGATTTTAAGATAAATTATAATTATAAAACTAATAAGGCCTATTATAAGATAACACCTTATACACTAATCTATCAATTTTTGAAACTGAGATCCAGGTTTCACAAAGATAATTTAAGACAGTGAGATGATTATCTTATAAAATTTGTTTTTAGAATCTTAACTACAACGTATATGGAGGCAGTTGCTGTATTATTTCCCATTGATATTCATATATATATTTTACGATAAATCATTTAATATTTAATAACTTGAAATGAAGAAGAAGCTAATTATTATTATTTTTTTTAGGTATTCTGATTTTTCATTAGAGGATCTAGCTTCATTGTTAAATAACAAGGGTTTTCAATCTTTGGCTCTTAAAAATCTAAAATTTGGCTTCAATGAATTTATGAAATCATTATTCATCGATCTACAGTTAAAAGAGTTACAGAAATTTGTACCAAGTATATCCCGAAATGACCTAAGAAGGTAATATAAGTGTGATTATATAATAATGCATATTTAATGTAAAAGATAGGTTGATTTTATTCGGTCACAGTTTTTCACCAATGTCACATATCATATGGGCATTTAATAAAATTTATGATTTTTTTTTTCTATTGTTTAAATAAAATATTGGAAAGAAAACGTTATTTAAACTTCTCCTTTTCTAAGGATTGTGTACCTTTAAATAAGAAGTGTGTATAATTTTATACTTGACACCAAAAATGTTTTGTTATAGAGGACCTTCAGGTGTGCGAGCTCAAGTTTTGTCTCCGGAGGGTGACCTGGTTGACGATTTTATATTTGAGAACAGCGGACCAAGGATACTTCATTGCAGAAATGCTCCTTCTCCGGCAGCAACATCCTCTCTTTCAATAGGAACAGTTCTTTCAGACAAAATTTTAGCCCAGATTGACTGTTTATAATTGTTGATATCAATTGTTATTATGTATGACAATAATAAAATGTTCGTTTATTTTATTTAAATCATTTTAGCTTTTGTTCATCATTGAAAACAAACATCTTTTATATATAGTTAAGATAATCTTTAAAAAGTATTACATTTCATAGCGTTGGTGTAATCAAAAACAGTTTTCAAGATTTTTTTTCTAAAAATCAGAGCTTTTATAAAAGGCATTAAATGTGCAACAAAACCTAACAACCTCAAAGACATATTGAGATTTCAATTTTTAAATTTGAGATGAATGTAAATGAAAGTTTTCACACAAAATTAAATTTACTTCGATACCAAAAACAAATTAATTTACAATTTTATTGATTATCCTTGCTTTTTAGATAAGTTAGAGTAAGCATGGTAACCACAAAACAGCCAATTGATTTAGATGTGGTCTGTTTAAACACATCCCTAATTGAAATGGGATGGCAAAATCAGTGGTTTGACATGAGAGAAAATAAATTAAAAAAGATCAAACAATATGTAAAACATCCTAGAAAAAAAATAAAGATATGAAGGAGAGAAGAGGTAGTTCTTACCCACCTCAGGAATGGCCATTGTCGACTTACCCATGGATATCAGATGAAGAAAATAGAACCGCCAACATGTTCGTACTGTGGCTGTATTCTAACAGTGCTTCACTTACTAACAGAGTGTATGGCTCAAGACTTACAGATTTTCCGCAGATCCAGAACAAATATTAACTAAATACGATTTATTAAATTTTTAAAAACTATCGACATATACATTAAAATTTGAAACAAATGCAAGTGACTAAAGAGACTTTAGTGTAAACGACACAAATAACCACTTTAGGTGAAAAATATTTAAAAAATAGTTATTTTCAAATTTTTTATTTTTATAAATAAAATTTGTAAACATATCTATGAATCAAAATTATTAATATTGCCATTCACTATCAAACAGAGGAATCGAAAGTAAGGTCACCAAATAATTATTAATAATAGTTGAATGAGCAATATAGTTTTTAATATCAATAATTTTGTAATTCACAAATTCTTAGATAGAGAGTTAAATTCTTTATTTAACACAATGGTAAAAGAAGACGTACTTCATCAAAAAGATTTTTAACTGGAGTTTTACCATCTCTCACAGTTCATCATATCGTATAAATTAAAAGTTTATTTAAAGTCTAGTTCATAGAATAAAAAATACACAGTTTATTTCATCTTATAAATAATTGTAGTTTTAGTATCTACACGTTTTTGCAACATGGCTGTAGATAAACTATGTAAAGATTTTTTTGAATTTATAATATTGTTCCATAGATTATAATTAAATCTGGGTAGGTTGAGAAAATGATGTTTACATACTGAATCAAAAGTTTATATATATTCTAAATCTTCCCCATTCAAGGACTGGTGTGATAGTTGATGCGTGATTTGCACAATGAATTTTCCTAGCTAAGAGAAAATTTGCTTGTGGTTAAGTAGTTTGCTGATTGCATATAATACATTTTAAATAAAGCTGAAAAATAGATATTCAGATATAAAAGGTGTGTTTCATGTTTATCAATAAGAACTTATATTAAATAATTGTTAATTACAACAATAATATATAATATTTAAGCGATGTATAATATAAGAAATATATAATTGTTGTAATAATACATAATATTTAATAATCATAAAACATGAGATCTCTGCTTTGAATATTTTCAGATTAACTCAAATATATTTTTAAAAATAATATTTCAATGCATTTATATGCACTGAAACATATTTGACTGAACATTTTTATCATACATATATGTCATACCTACTAAGTTCAAATCTTATAAATTAAATATTGTATTTAGGTTATTTGAAATTTTTCTAATTGTTAAAGTAATCATTCTTAATATTTCAATCGACAGAAAGTTATATATCAACTTCTTTTAGTCAAGAGCAGAAATCCTTAGTGAAAGTATAAATGAAAAATAATATTTGGTAACATAATTAGTAAAATTAACTCTGAGTATACCTTTATGGTTAAATATGGGTAAGCCCATTAAGTTAAAAATTGAATCAAACCTTCCAACGAGAAACAAACACTTATAACACGAAAATATAATAAACCGACTTCAGAAATCCGGATTTCAGAAGAAAGACCAATTAAATTAAAGATGGCTTCCTTTAATACCGTTTCCCGCTCTTTTGCTAATTTAATTATTATTTTTTATTGTTTTGTTTCTTTTGTAAACATGGTTATTAAAAGCATTAAAAAAATATATAGATCATTTGATTCATTTCTAATCATCATTTTACTTACACGCACATATCTATATTCGTTAATAGAGATTTGGACATAGTTGTGTATAAATACTATAAACTTAAGTTGATGACATTTTAAAATTTTATTATTTAAAATTAATGTGTTGAAATATTTGTAAATTATTTTGTTCAAATCTCCGGTTTATTAAATTTAATTTGAATAAAAAAATTGCGAATTATCAGGATGGTAACAATGTTACCGACAGGCGCTCTTCACCAGAATTTAAAAATTAAATTGATACATGTATTTACCTTGGGGTATTCTGAAGATATGAAAAAATAAAAAATAGGAACACATTTCTCTCCAAACTGTCATCCATAAATAATAAAAGATCGTAATTGAGTTTAACAATATAATTAGATAGAGGCGGATCAAAACAATTTGAGATCTTTTACTTAAGATATAAACATTTCGGGTTCCTTTTCCCAAATAAAATTTAACATAAAGAAAATAAATTTAACCTTTTCGGTTATTTCCATAATTTTTAAGTTAAGATGTTTTACGATCTTAGGCCGCTTAATTTCTGTGAACTCCTTAGTCCACATACAGTTCTGAAGTGTACCGAAAGAGGTGCCAAATTTTTAAGAGATTTTGAATATTTTTGGAAATAAATATTTTGATGGTATTGTGAATTTTAGAAAGAACTTTCGGATTTAAAAAAAAAAATATAAGGTATATAAAGCTACTAAATGTAAGCATGAGGGAAGAATAAAATATAAAAACTTATCTCTAAAAGCAGTATTGTTTCTTAATTACAGTTTTTTTCTCTTTTTTCTTCCAGAGTAATTATCGTTATTAAAAAATAAAAAATATGTCCACTCCAAAAAAAATTAAAATTGTTTATAAACAACTTTTTCTCAATAAACTGTCGTCAATTCTTGTTATTAATCTATGATCATTCTTTATTATAAAATTATTTATTTTTTCATAATGATGTAGAGATGGTTAACCGTCGAACTAATAGTTAATTTAAGTAGGAGTTAATTTAATTGGAGGGTGCGGTAAAATAAATACTAAATTAAAATATAGTAATTATTTAACTATTTTAATATAGTAATTCTTTTAATATAGTAATTATTTAACTATAATTTTAATTTAGTATTTATTTGAACACCCCCCCCCTTAACTCCTTCTCATATTTATTTTTTCATTTAATTTCAATTTTTTATTATTATAGGAATTGTTATATTTTTCTCTTAGGACATTTCAATAATTTATATACATAGTTTTATTATTATGTTTTTTAATCTACATAAATTCTTTTAAACATCGCGTAATTATTGTAATTATAATTTTATAGATGGGAGAACCGAGATCAACGAAATAGTAACGTTTATGAATATTAAAATATATTAATAGAAGTTAAGAAATTAATAACAAGAATGGATGAGCACAATTTTCGAAATCTTAAAGCTGGACTCAACGTTTTATTGGATTTGGTTCAATTACTGGATAGTGCTGGCCTCTGTTGGTAATATTTGAAACTTTTTTTTTTAAGCAGTCTTGATTGGTGCTGCTCTCTACTATTGCTTATTAAAACTATTAGTTCGACTAAGAGTGCGGGCCTCTATCAGAATATTTGCAGATATTAATTAGGTTACCCTTGGACAGTGCTGCTACCTTTGAATAGTTACTTGTACTAAGTCAAATAAACTATAATGTTTATCAAAATTAATATTAATAGATTTTGGACAAATACTTTTTCCACATTTTTCTCACAATACTTATTTTAAAAATAACATCAATAGACTATTAATTACTGGCTGTTATTATTGAATTATATCTAATTATAGTCGTTATTTCTGGATCCGCCCTTGCATAACTACAAGTGAGAAAAGTAGCTGACAGATGTTAAAGTTCCAGAATATAATAAACTTATAAATTAAGTATCCTAGATCTGACCTAATGACCTAACAAGGGAGGAAGATCACTTCATAGTGAATTTTTTATTGAAAAAATAAGATAAGTAATGAAAACATCGATTGATATATCGATAGTCATTGGGCTAAATAGCCTGTAACAGGCGAATGATAAGAATATAATAGAAAGATAATAGATATTAAAGATAGGTTTTACTTATTTTTGTTCAACAACTTTTAACAAAAGTGATGGTTTTACGTTCAGTTAATAAGATATTTGTATAAACGTAATATCTGTACAATTTAACCCGGCTATTGGCCGTGGGTAGCAGGTGGTTTTATTTTCATTTCAAACGCTACAATCAGCTGAGAGTTATGTTTTGTTTTTAGATTTTATTTTCCTACGCATTTTATGTAAATCGTAATCCGTCTATGATTAATAAACTTTTGTGGCAACGCCTAATTAGAAGGCATTAATATTAATTCAATACACAAGACATTTGTCACCAATAGTAAATGACCTTCTATGGCTTACTGCGTTGTTGACTTTTGGGAGGTACTCATGAAGTATTTAGGTATCGCTTGAAATGGTTTATTATAAACCTGCAGTTATGAATAAAATGACTCGTTTTTTCCATTCTGTGTTCGAAAGTTTTATTTTGTGTTAATTGTTAAAGATAATTGGAGATTTTCTTCCAAGTGCCTGTGATTTATGATACTGATGAATATGGTTGAAGATGAAGCTAATGGAAACATTTTGCCTGCTCAGAATTTATTAAATATGCCTTCTTCTTCTCAGACTGTTGCCAATCCAATGACTAGTTCTCCACAGAGGATTAGTGGCTCCTCCACTGAAAGTTTTCCCTCGCCAGGGGTGAAAAAGAAACATACTGATTTTGAAAGTAAATATATCCCATTAATGTGTTTCATATTCATTAATTTATATTCTAATTTTAATTGAACAAAAGTATTTCAAATTAATGATTATGGTTTTATTTGTGTGTGTTTAATAGGTAAAAAGTTAAATCGTGGCATTTCTAGAGCTACTGATAATGTGAATTTGGTTTCTCAAGCCCGTTCTGAAATAGTGATTGTAGATAATTATGATCAAGATTACTGTATAGAAACCCCACCTCACATGTTTGCTTTGCCAGATCTTAATTCATTTCCTGGTAAGTGATTAATAATACATATATAATTAATTGGTTTTGAGTTGGTTGTTTCTATTAATGATAAGGATTAACATCAACGAATTTAGAAAATCATAAACATTTGTGAAAATTTTTTATGATGTATAGTAATTGTTGAGATACTAAAATACTAGTTTGTATCTTTTAAATTATGTATTTCATGCTGAAGCATCAATTTATAATTTAATGAATTCAAATGTAAGTTGATAACCTTGAATTTTGCCTGATACCACAATCCATTTGTTTTGATGTGGTTATTAACAATAGTTTGTTATTCTTTCATACTTTTGATTTATTTACATTTTAATCACAATGAGGAAAGTGTTTTGGGTTTGCTCATTGATTTCTTGAAATTAGAGTAGTAAATATTTTATTAAAACTGTGCCAAATCCATCTAGTTGTTTTCCCTCTATTTACTAGTGTTAGTAATTACAAAGTATTTGATAGTGACTGTATTATGAAAATAAAATATTATTTTTGACAATTTTATTGCTCTAGGAAGTATTAAAACAATATATTTTATTCAGTTACCTTTATTTATATTATGAATTACTATTATTCACTTATACATTATTTATTTTTTTTTTCCAAACTGTTGAATAGGCAGTAGAGTAGAGCTGCAATTAGAACTTATCAATTACTGTAATTTGAAATTGCAGAATTATAATTATATGTAATTGGTAATAGTAATTTCTTGATGAATTAGTCGTAATTGTGGTGTAGACCTCGATACTACAATCACTGATTGAACCAAAGTTATTGAAATTTTTAGCACTTTGAATTGGTCATTGCATTTCATGCCACTTATCCACGTTGAAATGACACCAAAAAAAAAAAAAATTTGATGCATGATAAGTGCAAATGGCTTATTTTCATCTCATGAGTTGAGTGGAAATGTGGCAGTATTAACTATTGTTCAATCATATTTGTTAAAATTGTGAAAACAAATATTGCTTATTTTATACTTCGACTGCCTATCATAAATATAGCAAAGGAAAAGTTTTTTATTTAAATTTTAAAAACTATTTGGTACTTTTTGAATTTCAGTTATCACTACAGTGAAAGTTATTTTTTTTCTAGACTCATTTCTTTTTGAAGTTTTAAATACATATGGTTATATAAATTACAATATAGCATTCTTAAATATCTAATATAGATATCTGAAAACTTGTTAAGGTCATCTCTATTTAAAAGATTATTTTGAATACAGTGTTATTTGTATATGTACCATCTTGAATGAAGTCATTCTTTTCAGTCTTAAGACTGTCATTCCTCATTAGATTTATAGGATCCACTTGTGTCAAACACTGGTATTTGTTCATTTCTGAACGTGTCGATCGCTACTCTTAAAAAAAATATTAAATGTAATTTCTTCAGGTTCAATTTGATTTTTTGAATATTTATGGTGTTCTGAAAAAGAACAAGGATTTGAGTTTGAAAATGTTATCCCAGGAAGTAATATTGGTGGAACTATCTAAAAAAGTATTTTTTTTCTTAAGGATGTTTAATATTGATACCTTTATCCTTAATAATATAAAATTATGAGTGAAAAAAATTCAAAACAATTAATTTATCACAGGTTAAATTAAACATATTAACATTTCAAACCAATCTTAACTTCAAATTTATTATAATAATGACAATGAATACTTTTAAATTTAAAATAAATAGGAAAATAAATTTTTGTTTTATTTCTTATTGATATCTTCTGATGTATGCATCCCATCCACATTCATTCTAAAACTAACTAAATTTAAAAATAATGTAATTATCATTATTATTATTTTTTTGAAGTTGAGCTTCTTTACTCACTTTACTTTAGCTCAGCCATATTATATTTGCACATTAGCTGCTTGAATATTTAAAGTAGCAAAAAGAGGTCTAATCCCTCAATATGTTTTGTGGAAGATTATGGAGGTCACAACACAATACAGCAATCAATTTAGTCTGTGTCGCTTACTTTATTTGGATTTTTAGTCTCTAAAAATATTATTTGTCATAGTCTATTAAAGAAATAATGTCCTTAACCAGTTCTCGAGGTTTATTCTCAATTAGTCTTCTATCACAGCTATTTTTAAAAAAAGATATATTTTTTTAGTTAATATGTAGGAAATTGATTTATCTACTACATTATTGGACTTTATTATTGATAAAATATACATAATTTTTTGTTTGATTCTTTTTAGAAAATTTTAAAAATTTCCTTGTAAAGGACCTTATAGCTGTTTCTACGCAAATATCTTTAGAACAAGCTAACAGGTTGAATTGGTGGACCAGTTACTGTCAGAGATTATGGCCTCTTTCTACTTCTGGTGATGGTAATTGCCTTCTTCACGCTGCTTCACTTGGTAATTAAATGTTAAAGTTTTTTTTTAATATTGATTAATATACTGGAGATTATCTTTAAAATAAAATAAACGAAAATGGATGAAATAAAACAAAAGTTGTATAAATATTTTTTTTTATTATATCCATAGGGGTTGTGATTTTAAATAACTTTGGGAATAACTGGCAAATTGGCAGTTATATCTTGTGAAGGTCAACTTTGATTTTGTAAATAAAAATCTTGACTTATAAATTTTGAATAGAATATATAGCATTTAGTATTATCTGACCTTTCTTCCATATTCTGAGTAATTCCTATTCATAAGTAGTTTGTAATTTTTTTTGCAGGTATGTGGGGGTTCCATGACAGGCTTCTAACATTACGAAAGACATTGCATGGCTACCTTACCCTATCTCCTAGAAGAGAAGCCATATGGAGAAGATGGAGGTGGCAACAAGACCAATTGAATGCCCAAGCTGGATTAGTTTATTCTGAGGTTGAATGGAGGCAAGAATGGAATGCTATAGTTAACATGGCTTCTACTGAACCTCGTCTTCGCAGGCTAAGTGTGCAGAGGTATTTATCATATAGCCATCTCTAGCTTCTTTTTTATAGATTATTGAAAAATTCCATCCTATAGACTTAATTATTTTAGTTTAAATAGTGGGTAGTGTCCGATTGCTATCTGCCAATGTTTATAACTTTAACACTGATAACTCTGATAAGCCACTGATAATATCTTCGTATTCATATTTATTGTATTATATTCATATTATTATATCTTCGTATTCATATTTATTGTATTGTATTGATATTATTGAAATTGCAAACAAAAAAAAATGTAATAATAAAAAAATACTTTTATTTTACAAGATATATATATTAAATAGACCAAAATATTATACATATATCATTAAAAAACATTACGAAAACATTGCAACATATATATAAAAATAAATGAAATAATAAAAATAACCAAAAAATAGACAAAAATATATGAAATAATACAAAACGACTTAAACAGCATATAAAAGAAACACTATGAAGACTATAAAGAACATATGTACATATAAAAGAAACGATATAAACACTATATGACCTCCAAAACTCCATTGAATACCAAAACCTTACTATCCTCATCCTTCTAGATTTTTCCAACGCATTTGACACAGTTGACCATAACGTCCCAGCGTCTTGAAAATATTTGATTGCCTCTTTTTCTGAAGACGGCAATTCCCACAATGTGACAACATCCATAATTAAATAACACTAACTCACAGCTCACACAAGGAACAAAAAATAAACAAGGGGATAACTTAGGTTCGAGGAGATAAGGGAGGTTATGTGAAATAAGATTAGATAACAAGGGAGGTTTTGACGCCACCTGCTATTAAACAAGTACCTTATTTTATTATATTATCTGAGATATCAGTTCAATTGTAAACCAATTTTTATTTTTTCAAACCTTTAAACAAAGAAGAAAGTTTCCGACTTGTTAACAAATAACACACAAAAAAAATTAAGAAACTTTATTTTATTGACCTTAAATATATCATTGAAGCAAAATAATTAGTAAATGAAAAAAAAAATAGTATTTTTATTGGAAAAGTCCTATTATTTGCCTGCAAAAAACAAATGTAAGCCATGCCTAACGGCAGAATAAGAAAATGCTCTTCAGATCCTGAACTAACATTAAGGATGGCCAATATCTTGTTAGTAGGCCACCTGAATTGCCTGGGTATTCAGCTGAATAAAGGTTTAAATGGGACTTAAATACATTAAAGGTCTTACACAAGAATGTTTAAAAATACTTGGTTTTCTTAGGTGTCTTTCACATTATAGTTGGGAAGCTGATAGAAGCAGTTTGTTAGAGATATACCAAGTAATGAGTTGAAGCTAAATGGATTATGATGCATGTACATATGGCACCTAAAAAATAATTTACCCAATTCACAATGCTGCATTAAGGATTTGTTTAGACGCCTATAGAACTTCGTGAATTGAAAGCTTATATGCAAAATATGCTGAACAATCCTTTTAGTCAAAGAGCTTATATATGGTAGCAAAATAATGTCACTTCGTAGACATCATATTCGATTCAGAAACCTTAGTAAATTAGTTTCAAACAAAAAATCTTTTTAAAAATTTAAAACAGTTTCAGCCTTAAATACGGACCTAAATTGGATTCAAAAGCTAACCAATAATCAACTTTCCAAGTTGGAATCCCCCAAATATTCCTACAGATAAATCTATGTCCCGGATCTCCCCTACAAACACTAGTTTCGTTTGTAAACAAATTTTAGTTTTTAGATTTTTTGAACGAATATAATAATTACAAAATACATGGATGCATCAATGGCCAAGAATCTTGTGGAATGTTCAGTCATTACTGAAAACGAGGAACTCCTTTACAAACTTCGAGGAGAGTGATCTACCTTTACGGAAGAAACTCTGTTACACATCCACACAGCCTGCCTTCTAATTGATCCTATTGTAACTGATTCAATGTCCGTTAAAATAATAATAGAACAATCAAGTACTTTGTATCCTGTGATAACAGAAATATATAATTTATATGGTACATTATGGCTAGAAAATAAAAATATAGTCATGATATGGATACACTCATACTGTGTGATATTGGAATATGAGAGAGTCGATACCGCTGCCAATTCCTCTCCGCCATTACTCCACATGCCACAGTAATTGAGACCATTAACAATTTCGCCTTATCCCTTAAAAAGAAATAGAATAATGAATGGGAAATAAGTTTGGCAAAATGAAGGTAAATTAAGAAAAAGTGTATAAGATGAAATACTTCAAACTGAAAATTAAGAATCTGATGGGAAGAAGTCATACTCAGTTGCCTACGAATCAGATATTGCAAATTTTGTCATAGATACATCCTGTGAAGAAAAGAAGCTCCAACTTGCCCGATTGCTGAGAAACTAGGACTGTATAGCACATACTTTTAGAACGTAGCTTCATTGCTCTGTGAGAAAACTTACAAATGAGAACAAAAATGGAAGAAAAACTTCAGGATGATGAAAAAGAAATAGAAAACTATTCAAATATTTAAAAAAAGTAGAATTCTATAACAAAATATAAAATTGAGATAATATGTCAATGTCCTCTAGGAGGAAAAACAAAATATAATGAACTAATTGATGTTTAATATACACTGAAATCGAATAAAGATATTAAGCTACTATTAAATTGTAGGATCATTTCATAGATTCAAAAAGGGAACGAGTCCTAAATATTAGTTTTTAGTGCTTGTATTAAGGATTTAAAAATTATGGAAATCAACCACTTTTTTGGTACTTATATTTTTTTTTAATTTTACAGCGAACCTGGCTCTGACTGCTTAGCTGGAAATATTTATGAAAGCTTAGAGGAAATTCATGTTTTAGCTCTTGCCCATGTTTTAAAGAGGCCTATCATCGTCATTGCTGATACAGTATTAAAAGTGAGTTTTTAATAATATTTCTGAGTGATAATTAGTTTTAAAGTATGCATTTAAAAATAAAGTTCTTGATTTGTGATTAACGTCGTCTTTGTTAGTCAGATAATTTTTTCCCAATAGAGTGTGTGCATGAATTAATATTCACCGGTGAAGACTAGATTATAAATAGAAAACACAAAAAAACTCAATATTTTTCTGATTCATATTTGGATAGATAGTTGTGTTAAAGGAAGGAGTGTAGAGAGGATGGAAAGAGTTTGTGAAGTTTGATATCTACTACCTCACAGAATTTGTGTGCCTTTCTGAATCATATAGTCGTTAGTTTGGAAAATTGTTTTCAGATTTAAAACTTTCATCCAAGAAATATTTTTCAGTTTTTTTTTTATTTTTTATTCTGTCTTCTTAAATTAAAATTGGTCATGCACAATACTGGAAGGCACAGAACTGGGAGCCCTTTTCTTATATGATAAGAAATGTGTTCTAAACATTAATTGGTAATATCATAATAATAAAAGCTTAGTTCTTTTATACATATCGATATGTTATATAAAATATTATCTCTGAAGTAATGGAAATGTTAAGTGGGTCTTGTGTCATGAACTAAATTTGCTCCTGGTTGCTGCTCTTCTGGTTTCTATTCGGCAAGTACTACCGTCCTTTTGTCCTAGTATTATGAGCTGATGAATAAATAGGGAAAGCTGTATAGTTTTACTTGGCCAAGGAATAGGAGTCTTGTTCTTGTAGCTGGTAGCTAGCGATTGAGATAAAATGGGGAGAAAGTATAGATGTTATAATCCTTGTTGATAACATTCCTTGATGCCCTGTCGCTGTTGATAAGCAGTTTTTGTTGCAGAAGATACAAAATATGAGATTAGGAATTTTTATTTAAATTGTATATAAAAAAAAGAATAAGAATAACGGACAAGTGTTTTATAAACTTAGGATTCGTTAATTTTACATCTAGCTTAAAATATGTTTTATTAGCTTATACAAATAAACAAAATAAGCTAGTCATAAAAAAAATAGAAGCCGCGTACCTAGAAGTTCCAGGGCTGTTAATCACTCTGGCCTCTCATATACCAATCCCTTCCACATGCTATTGAAAGTTATTAGCTAAATATAAACCTTTTTGATTATTTAAATAAGACAGTCTCAAATCTCATAACGTAGTAGTTAATCACATGAATTCATTGACTTAAGATTTTTCAATTTATTTTCTCTGTAAATATCTCATTTAAATATTATTCTTAATGGTTTTCAAGAAACTTCTGCTGATATTATTTCAGGATATGAATGGGGACGCGTTAGCACCAATTTCATTCGGTGGTATTTACCTCCCACTCGAGTGCCCACCCGATGAATGCCATCGATCACCTTTGCTTTTAGCCTTCGATGGTGGTCATTTCTCCGCTCTTGTGTCGATGGATTCTCCGTCAACAGGTAATTACTCATTTATTTTTTAATATTATATTTTACTGCAGGTATTAGTTTTTATTAAACCAGTATTTCTGTTTTTTTTTTTTTTTCAAAGGTCTCTCGTCTGCCATCCCGTTAACCGACAGCTCTGGTGAACTACTCCCACTTCAGTTCAGCGTAGATCCAGGCAATAATGCAAACGTCAACGAATCATTGAAACTAAACTATAGCCAAAATATTGACCTCCTCCAGAGATATTTGGATTTAATAAAGATTGATTCACAAGTTAGTATGATCAATGTTAAAATTTAAATGAACATTTTTAGAAAACAGGACTTTACAGTTACCAAAAATTAAAATTTAATTTTTGAGTTGAAAACCTTTCAAGTTATTATTTTGTAATTTTTAGTTATTCTTTAATATTTCTACTCCTTTATCGCACTAAACTCATTTAGTGGCATCACAAACCTTAGCATTACTTTAGTGGAAAAAGTTTATAAGTCAAAATTATAACTTTGTTCCTCAAAATTCTTATTAAAGTGAATTCTATTTACCATATGTTTTAAACCTGTTGCTTACATTAAAAAAATAACTTCAGCTTCTCTTTTAAGATAAGCATGTTACCTTGCAAAATTTTACAATTAAAGCATAGACTTAAGTTTTTATAAGATTACTTTTCTCTTACACATACATGTGAAACTTTTTTACTATTATCTATAATCTTTTAAATAATTTTTTAGAATGCACCAGTCTCTGAGGAAAGTAAGAATGGACTTCTTGGAAGTATTGGAAAACAAGTAGGCCAGAAACTGAAGCTTAAATTGTCAAGAAGCAACTCTCAAAGGCAGGCTAAAAGTATTTTAAGCGCTGCACTCCATTCTGATAAACGACACGAATACCATGATGTGATGATTCGTAACTATCTGGAAACTGCCAAACAGAGGTTTGAATTGCAACAGGAAAATGACAAGGTGAAAATGACAGATCTGATTTAAAGTTTTATAATTTTATTTTTATTAACTTTATGACTGATAGACGAGATTGTTAGGATTTGAAGACGTTTTATTTTAATGTATTAGTTATATATCTTTTTAATTAAATAAATTTAATATTAATTATTGAATACCAGGGTGGTCTTGAGACCACTGTTGAACTTTCCTCTGAGACCAAAGAGATGCGACCTGCCGTTCATCCCCCAGAGCCACTTTTTCACTCTGTTAAATCAGTGTTGGTTGGCTGCCTAAGTTCCTGGGAAAAGGTTGACATGCATGATGGATAATATCTTATTTATGTTTTCTTATAACAATTAGTTTTTGTATTGCTATTTGTTAGTTAAAAATCAAAAATGTTATGATTGTTCGCTAAACTTTAAATTTGTTCTGATTCCTTTTTCAAGTTTAATTAATACATCTCATTTCTTTTACAACTTCCTGATCACGCTTTCAGCACCAGTCAAGCTGTTAATTAACATTTCATTGTGCTTAAATTTAATTAGTTCTCTATGATTTTTTCAATTATAATTGAGAAAAAAAATGCAATAACTGCTTATATAATCAATAAATGAAAAGCAGCCTGTGGGGCTTATTTGACTGTATGATATTTTAAAAAATGTTATGTGCTTTATTTGACAGTCATATCGGTGGTTTAGTCAGTGGAATCGCTAGTTATCAATCTTTAGAGACAAAGGATATATAAGTGGTGATCCTAGAATACTTTAATTAACCTTCTTTGGCATGAGATATTTATTTCAACACCTGCTCATGTAATGGTTCGAGAGATCAAAGGAAATTTTGATCAGTATTTTTTTTTTGGTCTACATTAATCGTGTATACCAAATAAAATGTTTAAGGTGTGAGGCGATCTTCATCTTTGATTGGTTGCATGAGCTGGATGGTTAAAACTGATAGTAAAACCACAGTTGGTCTTAATCTTTCTTTCCTGAGGTGTTTAGCTGTTATTTTTCAAATTTGCTTCTCCATTTATTCTCTCTACTCTCTAGTCAATCTTGCATTAGAAGAAATTTTAATATAATGATTTTTAATAATTATTTCTTCTAAATATTATATTTAATTTAAACAATTTAAATGTTAAGGAGCAATCATTATATATGCCTTGTATGTTATGTATGTATTGGTTGAGGTATTTCTTAATGTTTACCTGCTTATCTTTTAACAAGCTTACCCTTATTTACCTTAGTAGCTATTTATATTTTTACATAAACAAACTTTAACTGGGTTCTGTTATAAAATTATTTAAATTGATTGTGCTATAATACTGTGTGTTTTCGTTCATTCACTCTGGTTCTCAGAAATAATTAATTATCAAATGTGTTAACTTATCCTTATCCACCAATCTCGTCTCCTTGTTTGTTTTTTTTTGTTTGTTATAACATGCTAGTAGTCTAGAGTGATGTGTGAAACTTAATATTAACAGGTATGTTAACCTTGAAGTTTTAGCTTTTCGTGTTTGCTTCAAATGAACAAATATGTTTAAAACATTTGGTATTGTTTCATGTTTTTTATCCTTATACACTGCTCTGGGAATTTGTGTTTGTTAGGTGCTGGCATAATGAATTTATCGGTGGGAACATAATTAATGATGGTTTGCTTGTTATAATTAATGGATCTGTGTCTATAAAAAAGCAAAAAAAAAAAAAAAAAATCGATGGGTTGTGTGATTTCATTTTTGTCAAAGTACCTGGTTTTTGGTAAATTGACAAATTGCTGAAAATTTTAAAATAAATATTTCTTATTTTTGGAATTAGGTTAACAGAAAGAAATAACAAGTGACATTGGACAGATGGAAAATAAATGATCCTTTATGGGCATCATACACTTCAAGTTCAGGTAAATTTTGTTAGCTTTTCTCAAGGTAAATTTTATGTTAGACGTTTTTAAAGAAAAAGAAATCAGTAAATCCTGATTTTAAAATAAAACATTTTTATGTGATTGGTCTGTAATATCCTATTTTTTTTTTAATTTCTACAAATGAAGCACTGCTATTGCTTGCTTTAAAAATAAGAAGGCATACAGATTTCGTTGCCTTAATAAAATTTAGTTATGTCTATGTGATTATTAGACAGGATGCATTTTAATAGTGAATTGTTTGTGATAAGTTGTGCACCTCAATTCAAAACTATTTATTTTAACGAGTCTGATTTTTAAATAAAATTTAAAGAAAAACATCTTAAATTAGAGTTTATTTATAGTAGATTTATGATATAACAAATATCTGTGGGGTATTTTTTTGTTATTATTGTTTAGTAGAACTAGTCTGGAAGGACTTTTGGTCTGTTTTACCTACCCAGACAGCTACTTAGAGGTTACCAAGTAGGAGCTTCAAAATTTGTTTTGTGAGATCATCGAGAAGTTAATATTGATGTCTACCAGGGTAAGCGAGGAGAGGAGGGGTATAGTGGTTAGAAATAGTTAGCTTCTGAATTAGATTATTAATCATGATGAGTTAGTTATGGGAAATATGTTATCTTGTGGGATTTGTATAATATTAGTATGAACAAGAAAGAAAAAGCAGTCAAATATTGATTACATAAATTAAAGTTAAAATTTTAATGTTGAATCTTTGCATATGGTAAATGTACCAGTAATAGGCAGTTTTCAACTCATTAACAGGTAATGAACTTAATACACCAAAAAGAGAGTGTAAATGTGAGTAGACAAAATATATGGTTAGCTGCAAAAATGGCGATACTACTGGTGATATCGATATAGATGGTAATGTGTTTGAACAGGTAGATAAATTTAGGTATCTAGGTTCTACGATAACTAGAAAAAACGAAATTGAAGAAGAGATTAAGGTTAGACTGAAGGTGGGGAATGCTTGTTATTTTTCTGTGACAAAACTACTTAGTTCGCGCCTCTTGTCCCGAAACTTAAAAATTAGAATCTATAAAACAATTATCTTGCCTACAGTTCTTTATGGATGCGAAACTTGGCCACTTACATTAAGGGATGAGCAGCGTCTTAAGGTTTTTGAAAATAAAGTATTGCGTAGAATATTCGGACCGAAGAAGGATGAGTTAACCGGAGAGTTCAGACGGTTACACAACGCCGAATTGCGTGAGATGTATCCGGGTAATATAATTGAGGTAATTTCATCGCGGCGAATCAAATGGGCTTGTAAAGTTGTTGGGCTTAGTAACGAGAGAATTCCTAAAAGGTTAATATTTGCTGTGCCGAATGGTAAGCGTCCGAGGGGAAGACCGAAGCGAAGGTGGGAAGATTGCATTAAAGCCGATCTGAAGGGACTGGGTTTGGACGGCGAACGGTGGAGGGAGGTGTGTAACAAGCGATTGGTGGTGTCGGTATCGAACCTTCGGGTTCGCTAAGCCTTATTATTATTTTTATTATAAATGTGAGTAGATTTGAAGCTAGAACACTTACGAGGGTTATGCCTGAACCTCGAGTAATATTACACCACAATAGTCGATTGGTTGATTTTTTAATGGTTCAGGGCTTGATCTTTGTTTTAGGGATTTTTCTTTTGGAGATATGTTTGAAATTTTGATTCATTCATCTGTAATTTATTTTATATTTTGTAAGGAGAATTTTTTTTTTTTTTTTAATTATAAAAAATATCTAGTTGATCTCAAAATCTTGGTTTCTATTACTGGCACAAAATATACTGCCAGAATTTCCTATGTTTTTCATGAATAATAAACTAATTGACTTTATAAAAAAATGGAATTGGTAAAAGACAATTTACTCTCAATTAAACCATTTTGCGAAGTTCTACCGTCAGTATTAAAGTTTTGGTCCACGTGTTGTGCGTGAATGTCGTTCTTAATGTTGGGAAATTCTCTAAAGTGTCTATTACCGGTACATTTACCTTACATATTTTAATATATGAATGTAGTATTCAATGAATTATTATTAACTGTTTCTTTTGTTGTTTTTTTTTAACAATTTGAGACTGTCTATTTTACTTGTTTATTTGTGGGTTGTGTTGAGTTATGATTAATGCTAGATTATTACAAAAGTCCTTTTGGATTGATTCATTGCTGACATTGAAGTCTACATTTTAATTTTTATTCAGTTGTAATGTAAGCAATACACCAATACATTGTTTACTTTGTCTAATGTTTAATTATGTTTACAAACTTTCTTGGAGGAAAAAATTTTCATTTGTGGTATTTTGAGGCATTACCAGAAAAAAGAACTAACAAGGATACAGTGTGTGAGTCACTGATTTCAACTAAATTGTTTTTTGTGATACTACATCGAAAAATATTAGACATATATCCCGACATTCATTCCAATGGGCTCTAGGAGCCGAGGAAAAGAATATTTTATATAATTTCAAACCAAATTTATATTATTTATTTTTACCTTTGCTTTGCCCGGATATTTAGGCTGCTATTTATCAATTGTTTTGTTTTTTTGTGCAGAATATGAAAAAAGTATTAACTATTTTATTAAATTACTTATAATGTATCATAAATTACAAAAAACAAAAGGTGCTTCCAGCAAAGTAAATTATTTTGTCAATAAAAAAAATACTTATTCTAGATATCAGACCCGTTTTTAATAAATATTTTATGTGGCAGATAGTTACAGGTATGGGCACTATTTGGACCAACTGACTGAGTAAATATTTTTTCAGGGATAAAAAATGTTGATATTCATTTTTCATACCCCAAAAAATCTTTAATGTTGTATTTAAGAATTTTTATAGCAATAAAAAAATTTTTGTCTAGGCTTGACCCTTCGGAAATTTCGTCAACAACCACAAAACTTGTGATAATTGTAGAAAAGCTTCACCAATCCTCTCAAAAACTAATAGAGATTTAGGCCTCTATGTGCTAAACGAAATGGTATAAACCTGATCTTCTAACAAATTAAAACTAATGATATTAAATAAAAATGGATTAGAAGTTTTACTTAATTTTTAGCTTGAAAAAAAAAAAAAAAATGAAATCCAAAAGTTATTGGTGTCAGTTGGAAGAGCATTTAATCAGGTTTCCAACGGTTATATTAAAGTTGAATTTGAAGAAAATCCGGAGGAGTTATAAATGCTTTAGTTGACAGCTGGAAAAAAAAAAACTTATACAAGAAAATAAAGTACTAAACACATTTTTTATTTATATAACGATTCGTAAAAATTCGAATTGCACAAAATTTTAAAGGGCCATAAAAAGGAATCTTATTTGCTGTTTCATAACAAAAATTTACTTCGCTTACTTTACTGAAAGCACCTTTCGGTTTTTGTAATTTATGATACATAATAACTCATTTAATAAAATAGTTAATAATATTAGGCCCGTGTGAAAATTCACACAGTATATGGCTCAGTGATGAAATAATAAATTAATATGAAAATAAAGTTAATTGCTTAGCAGTATTTTGCTCCAGATGGTTCAGTTCTGAAAAAATGAGCCTAGAACAGGCCAACCTTCAGAAAAGAATGATGTTGAATTATTCAAGTATATCGGTCAGGATCTGATTGTGACTGCTCGAGGATTATCATCTGGATCTGAAATTTTAGATGTCAAGTACAATAAATCTCCATTTAAAAAATCTTAATTTCTGAAATGTACAATCCAGATCATGTCCTCATGATTTGTAAAGACAATTGATCGAAATTTTCTTCAAAATGCAAAAGTATCAATAATTATCAAGTGAAAAATGGATATGGTTGACCATGATTGTAATTTGAGAAGGAGTTGGTCAGAGGTGCAATATATAATATCAATATATTAATATATAATACTACATACTATAAGAGTAATTTGAATACTTAGTAGTTGAATTTTAGAAGAAGGAGATGGTCCTGATGGAGATGGGGTGACGGTCATAAATAGACTAAAATAGTGGAAAAACTATTTTATTTCAAGCCAACATTTCGACCCGACTTTGTAGGTCTTCTTCAGGGCTAGAGTGGACAAGATACAAAAAGATATACAAAATTGTGGAAGTTACATAATATTTAGATAAAAATTATACACTAGGTGAATAAAATTATTGAAATTATAAACATCTCGAGGAGATATTGGAAAAAAGGAATGGAGAAATAATGGACATGAAGGAATGTAAAGAAAGAAAGAAAAGAAAATTTTTATTTTTTCTTTCTTCACATTCCTTGTCCATTATTTCATATTATTTTTCCTTTCCTTCCAATCTCTCCTTGAGATCTGTAGGAGTATATTCATAATTGCATATAGTATATTATATATTACACTACAACAATTGTTACTATCTATTTACTTCAGTTTAGGATCTTGTTACTTAGTTTACTCTGTTTATGTAACTTATTGTTCTTAATATTTCAATGTACTTACTGTTTATAATTTCAATATATTTATTCACCTGGTGTATAATTTTTATCTATATATTATGTAATTTCCACAATTTTCTATATCCTTTTGTGTCTTGTACGTTCTAGTCCTGAAGAAAACCTGCAAAATCGGGTCGAAACATTGACTTTAAATAAAATAGTTGTTCCATTATTTTATTCTATTTATGAACGCCACTCTGGACCATCTCCTTCCTCTATAACAGTATTTTATTGGATTTTCCTAACTTTTCAGCTATCTGTGCTACAAAAGATACAAACTATAAATATTTGTCATACATTAAAAAAGTACAGGATACCAAATAAAGAAATTAAAAAAACTTATTAAATGACAGTCATATTATCTTATTAGTTCTATAATTTCTTTATCTGGTAACCTATACTTGTTTAATATCTATTGATAATTCATTCATTTATTTTTTTTTACCTTTTACCAATTAATATTTATAGTTTGTATCTTTTGTAACCCATATGAAGACCTACAACAGAGTTCATAGGCAAATACTATTATAACATATATTCAGCACACCCCAACCAACTCCTCAAAAGAAAATGGATATTTTTAAAGAAATCTTATCTGCTAAAAACAAGTATCTTAAGTCCCATAAAGCCAAGAAGCTGAAGCAGAGGTTTGCCAATCTTGATACAGAAAATACATTATTATTTTAGCGCCTTATGTTTGTTATTATATGTATGTATTTATATGATACTAATATACAAGTATTTTCAATAATTATTTTTTTTGTGGGGGAAAGAGATGAGTTATTTCTGCTTGTAAATAAGAATTAATGATCATTTTTGTTTATGTGCCAGTGGGGCAGAGCAACGAGTGGTGGCTAAGTCAACACTTAGTAAATTTATGAATTTTGATATATATTTGGTCTTTTACTTATCGCATCCTTTATTCTAAATGAGAGCAAATCTTATTTGCTTACCTAATCTCACATTCACTCATTAATCCATAGTCCTGTTTAAAGGTTAATTTTATTTGCCGAAATAAATTGCTTTCATTTATTTTGCTTTATAAAAAGGAGTGTGAAAAACATTAATACTAATAAGCACTGTTTGGTCATTGTTTTGCACATCACATGGCAACGTTTTGTATTCATTATAAATTAATTCTACTCACAAAATGACTAATTATATTTTTATTGTTATGATTTAATCTAATATCAATTTTTTTACAACAGGGTGGCGAAGAACAGAGTGGTGGTAAGTACAATGCTGGGAACTCTCAGTTCTACACGGCCGTCGATACAGAGTCGCACCAAAGGGTGAGCCAGCTACCTCTGGTAAAGCCTGCCCAACCTGACCCCACGTTATATCTTTCCAATTCGACCTTCTACGAAGAGGCCATCAGCCAACCATGCAGGAACCAGCAGTGCAATTTCTTCGGTAACCCAGCCACTCTCGACTACTGCTCAAAGTGCTATCAAGACTATATCGGTGCTTCTAACAAGTAATAATAGTGTTCATTGTCTTCTGTTCTATACGTGTGTATATATGCTTTCGTGTATCATAGTCTCTTTGTCCTTGTTATTAACATCAAGTTGTTTGTTATTTTCTTTAAACTTATTAAGTTATTATTAAAATTTGCAGAAAGGCAGTAGTTACACATTTATTTTTATATTTAAAAATTATTTATTATCGCTTCGCATGCTTGAAAAGAAAATATCCTTATAATATTTTTTCAATAGGAAGAAAAGTTTTCATTTATATTTCAAAGTTGGACTGAAAACATTCCTTTGAAAACTTTAAAACATCAATGAATCTAATTCTTTTTAATATAGATTTTTACTAATGTACGGTAGATTCCTCGCTCCTCGTCCTATTCCGAAATGAGACACTAAACAGTCAAATAAGTATTTAGTTGCTTTATTTAAATACAATTAAAAAATTAACCTATTGGATATATGTAGGTTTATTTAATACATGATGAAGTTAAACTTGAATCCATTTCAATAAAAATTTCTTTAGATACGTGGTTTAATTTTAGTGTACAAATAATATTGCAATATAAGTAATTTGTATGTTGGTGATCTTTTAGTTTGAATAATTTAGTTCTCATGATTGTGTAAATACTAAAACTAGTCCCTGAAAAAATTATTTAATTTTTTTTTTCCTTTTTATTTTAATTTAATCCGGCGAGTCAGGTGGAGTACTAAAATATTTAGTTATATATTATTGTGTCTTCGCTATTGTTATTGAATGTAATTTAACAGTACTTATGGTAGAAACCATTTTTAATCCTATTGATGAAATATTATCAGGCAAAAAGAGTTACTCATCTTTCAATTTTAGTTAAAAATTAAATTTTTGATTAAAATGATGTTTGAAGATGATGAAATCTGTAATGCCCTTTCTGCAAAAAGTTCTTTAAAACGTATTCTAGACATTGTTTTGTTTGCTTTAAATCTGTAAGTTGTTATTTACTGTCTTCTACATATACTGCCCATATAATATAAATGATATATATATTTTCTGTACGATCAATCAACGCGATACCATTTCTGTGTACCACTATATGTGCCAATATTTCAAACTAGTTCTTTTCTTTGCAAATAATGAGACAAAAAATAAGGGACACAATTATCATTAGTATATTATTGAAAAAATTTTAACAAAGATTTTATTCTCTATTTGGGTGTATGTTAAAGCGTTTATGAGCGATATGCTGTCATTTGGTTTGCCTGTATTAGGCTGTGGAGATTGTATATACTTGTTCTAATCTCTATCATTCAGATATTCATGGTATTCAGTCCTAATGATTCCTAAATTGGGAAAAAGTTGACCATTTAGGCATTAACTGTTATTTTAGAGAAAAGGATTAGTTTGAAATCTTCTATTGATAGCCTAATGATTCTAATTCCAATGAGAGAAAAAAAAGGGAAAATAAATTTTACCTTATGTTGTTTTTTATCATTGATAACTGTGATTGCACCTGTGTTAATTTTTATTCTGTTTTACCTTACAGAAATGGTTTTAATTTAGTGAATGATTTTTCAATTTATGCCTAAAGCAATAAAAATTTTATATAGAATACTATTATATTAGTATCAAAACACATTTTTATTGATGATATTGGTATCTCTTTATTTTTATTCAAAATTATGTTAAAAACTGAAGTATCTAAACCATTAGGAATGTTTTTTCTATTGATTTTATGGTAGAACCATTTATTTAAAATGTTTTGAAACTTATCACATTTAATCATTTTGAAATAATAGTTTTTTCATCCAATGTATATTAAAAATGGTATTTTGTTGCTAATGTTTTTTCCTTCTATTTCAATGGTTTGTTAACAAGGCACATTTTTGTAATTGTTAAATGATGCTGTTTATATTTTATGTGATGTACTCATTTAACTGTTTTGAGTTTTAGTTGTTGTTTGTATATTTTTCTGTATACAATCATATTATACAAGATTTGTTAGCTAAAGTAAATTCATATTTGTTTATTAATATGAATATTTGAGCAGGTACTAATGTCTATAACTTTCAATCAATTGAGTAGTTTTGATTTTTTTCATAAGTAATTTTGATTAATTCAATAATCGATAAACTTTTTTCTAGAAGTAATAATACTATGTTTTAATAAAGATTGATGCCATAAATCCTTATCACAATTAACTGCTATGTTTTTATTTATTTATATGTATGCACAAGTTTGCTTCATTTATTCATTGGTCGCATGTAGGTTACATCACATAAATCACTTTTTGGTTTTAATCTAAAACCATATAAGTAAATGCTTGCCTATGAAATAAAATGATGTATTGTTTATTATAATATTATTATAGTGCCTTAATGTTTTTTTTTTATTTTATTCAACTTTCTTAATAATTTCCTTATAGTTTTTTTACTTATGTCACTGATTGTTATGAATTACGCAAAATAACTAAAGTTAGTTTATTTTAGAAATAAGGTTTTTACAAACTTCTTAACACAGTTCCTTAAAACAATGGTGAAAATTGTTGCTTATAGTGATTTTTGTACTGGTTGTGAACAGAACAAAGTGTTATCAGTTTTGACATGGTTAATATTTTTATATATATTATCTAATACATGAAATAGAAAATTAAAAAAAAAAAAAAATCATTAAAGCTAATGGTTAAGTTTCTTGGTTATCTCTATAAGTAATGTATATATTTTTAGTCTGTACCTGCAAACTTTGTTTTAAACAATATTTTTATTAAAATAGTAATGATTTAAGAACTTTTATTGGAATATTAATTTAAAGTGAGTGATTAAATTATTACCATATTTCTTAACATCAATAATCAATAATATAAATATTATTACTTTAAATCAATTGGAAGATTAAATAAACATAAAATAAAATTTAATTTTAATGTAATAAATAATTTATTTTATGTGAAAATTATTTATTTATATTATTAATTTAATTGAATGTATTATTATAATACGTAAGCAATTTAAAAAGTATTTTGAAATAGCTTTTATGTTCTTACTGCCATCATAAAATTAAAAAAAAATGTCTCATTCAGTAACTATGTAATGAGCTTATGTTCAATTTTGTAACATATTAAATGTAATTCTATTTTTGTTGTTTTAAGGTCATATTATATTTCTGTAATTTTTTGCACGTTAGTTTTGGGATTCTGTATTCTTTTTTTTTTCTAGAATAGGTAACAGGATTTTTTTAAAATTCTGTAATGATTTCTTGGTTATCTTTCTGTCTGTCTTTGTTTAAGCTTATTTTTATTTACTAGTCATTATCATTTCTGTTATTATTGTTTTTATTATTATCATTGTATAAATTACGAAGGGCATTGTTGAATAGATTTATTTAATAACCACTCAGTAGAGATCACTGCAGCTTAAGAAATCTCAATTTATAAAAGGTGGATGGTTTTTAAAATTTTCACTTGGCTTAATGCATGCTCCCTTTTACCTCTTTCATAAATATAAGTTTTAAATCTAGAACTTGGATATAAACTGTCATAACTGCCGTCCGGTCAATTTTATAATAAATATTTTTATTTTATCACACAATATCAAAGACAAATTAAAGGTAGTTAAACTACTAATAAGAAGCTATCCATCTTTGTTAAATTGACTAGATATGATTTTCATAAAAAATATTGAATCATGAATAAATTAATTTAATTTGAGTACAAACAATTTAAAAAGTAATGGACAGGGTTAAATTTTAGAAGTATAAATGTTCCTTAAGAAATAATATATTTACCTAAAGCTGTTCATTTCTCAAAATCGTAAATTAGGATAAATATTTTAAATTAAAAAAGCTCATCCAATAGTTGTTCACTTTTGAAGTACAGAAATATGATAAGAAAAATATATTTTGTTTTAATTAATGATTGTTAATAAATACCACGAGGTTACTTATCATAAACTTGCAATTATGATAAGCTAGTTTAAAATTGTTGAACGTACTAAGTTAAAAATAGTTATTAAAAAAATCATATTTTTGCTACATTATTAAGTTTTAATATTTTATTTAACATTAATATTAATTTATGTTTTATAGATACTTTGCTGAATTTTCATGCTATCTGTTGCCTTATGTTTTAGTTGGGATTTGATAAACAAGTAAGATTTCAGAAATATTGATTGTTAAAAAAAGGATTCATAAATCCTTATGTGATTTATCACCACGGTGTTACAATTTTTATTATTGTTGTTGGTTTGTTCGATTGTGCCATTGTGATGTACTACTTTGTATAAGTTGTTTAGCTCTATCATAAATTAACAGACTGCTGTTTTGAAAATGTTCATTGTAAAAATATGTATATTTAAAAATAGTGAGATTGTTAACTGAGAAGAAATTGTAAAAATTTATACTAACCAATACATCTAATATTTTTGAATTTATTTAAATATATTTATTAAGTCTGTGTTTATTTTTATTTTTTAAATATGATTGCCCACTTTTTTATTTTTCTCGAGTCATTGTTTAATACATGTGAATCTATACTATATCTTATCAATCGCCCAGATATTTGGGTCTCTGATTTTAAGAAATTAGAAACAGGTGGAAAACCGCGACCTCCAAACGTTTGTGTGCAATATTTATTAATCTTCTGCTAGAATTTATTAATATGTTCTTATTTAAGTAACAAAAATTTGGAAATTAAGTTGAATGTATGTATGTGGGTGTGTGTATTTAGTAGTAAATAAAAATAGCAACGGTAAAATATAAAGAATTATTGTGGCCTCTATTAGTACTGCCTAACCTTACTGCGGACTTTAATTATAAAAAGGTTTCCCAACTATGAATTACGGTATGCATCATTATCATTTTAATCAGTAACTTAAAAATAGCAATTCACTTCAGATGTAATTTACTCTTCAACACCTTAATTATAAAAATAGTAATATTCTTTATTTATTCAAGGAGGTCTCTTCAAAATAAAGTACACTAATAGAAGTATGACCTGAAAGTAAATAGTAATTATCAGTGGTATACTAGATTGGAAAAAAAAAACAAATAAGGAGGAATAATCGATGGATGAATTTTATTAAAATTATTTACATAAAATACGATGCATGATAGGTAATTAATGATTGAAATTACAGAATTTTAAATAAAGAAATGTATACATTTAGAAGAGATGAAATAAAAAATGCGATTGAAAATTATTAAGAAAAACTTTCATTTAATGTAGAATATAAAACTTAAAGGAATCAACTACTTCAATTTTTTTTTTTTTTTAAATAAAATCTCAAGAATGATTTCTCAACAACATAAACTAAAGGATACACTGGCTACATCATTTTTATCAAGAAATGAGTACTTTGCAGAGCAAAAATCTGGCATTTCTGATTTTTTTTTATTTGTTGATATTATTTAGTCCTAGATTGAAAAAAAAAATCAGGTTTTGATATTAGTATGAGTACAAAAAAATTACAGTTGAGAACTATTGTGACATTTAAATGATGACGCAGAAACAACTGTTGTTTGCTTACTACTTTTCCTTTCTACAGGGCTCGAGTGGGAAGGGAAAGGGCAAAATTACAGTAGATTCTCTCCTATTTTATTTGTGAGTTAAACAGATGAAGATGAAACAGTTTCTAATTTGATCTATCACCATTACCAAAGCTCCTCCTATTAAGTAATGAGAGCATGGTTTTACTTTTATGTATCCTTTGCTTCATAAAATACCTCTGTTTAAAGAAAATATAAATTTAGATGCAGTTATATGTTACTTTTACAATATACCTTGAAGTGGTTTATCATGTTCATAACATTTCTCCTTCTTTTTTTGTCCAATTTTCGGAAATAAAAAATGTTTTAAAAGAAAGATACACTTTTCAGTAAAAAGAATAGTTATATTGTTCAGAAATAAAATCAGATATATAAATAGGAATAAAATCATCAAATACAAAAATTGAATCAACCAATATTATTGTAGGAATGGTAGTTTTTACAATCAATAGGTACTCATTGGATGTAGAAAACATAAACAACCAGAAATAACACTAATAGGTACTAATTTACAAGTGTTGTTCCACTTTGATGGGTGGCCCCAAGATCTGATGATCACACTATTAACAGATTCCGAGAATGGCCGAATGAATCCGAAAGTGACCGAACTGTTAGATAAGCCAGGACCTAAACTGAAAAGGACCTATTGGGAGTTGTGCATCCCTTTTGAGTGAGCGATATAATTAAAGCTAATTGAAGTCCTGATTTTAACTTAAAGGGACCAGCTGGAAAGTTTCTGAAGCAATAAATTGCGATCTAAATAAAGGGGGGTGGGAACTGAACATACACTGGGCCATCATGGAATTCCATTTCCATTTTATTTGCTAAATTTGTTTAATCGACATTGATTAAGATATAAATTAAGGAATATTTCTATTGAAAATAAAATGAAACAATCGTTAATGCATATACCTCCTACCTCAATTGAGGATATCATGGGGGGAGAGGGAGGAAGATTAATTTGATTCATAAGTGATAGGAAATCGGCGAAAAAACTTGAGTAAACATGGGTTTCTTTATAGCAAGAAATTTTAAAATTCAATCCTCATTGAAATCGTATGACACGACTTTAAGACCTAACCGATATTTAGGACTATTTAATTACACATTGATAAAACGAGTTTCATCAGAACCGTTTTCGAGACCGTTGCATATTCAACTTAAAACTTCCACATTGGAGAAGGAGAGATGCGCTCTTATTTTTCTTAAGAAAAATCATACATCTCTCGTGCACCAAAAAATGGGATGCATTTGAAGGAAAAATTAAATTTACCTAATGTCTAAGAATTCAATGAATAATAAAAATGATATCAACACAGACCGGCAAACGAAGTTAAAATTTAAGGATAATTCCAAAGCACAAACGTAACTAAGGTTGTTTTTAATCTGGAAATGTTATGTTTTTTAAACCAATACCTCTTTATTGAGATGTTGTTTTCGAAGTTAGGAGGAATCCATATAGCATTAAAGGATACCAATAGACTTGCAATTTTTTTTTGTTGCTTATACGCAAAAATCGCAGTGAAAAATAAATGATATCAGCTGTTCCAAAACATTAATTCTCTTTTTGCAAACACAAGGTTTAGGAACAGACGAAATAAGGTTTACTTTAGACAACTTGAACATCACTTTAATTTAAATTAATCATGATCAAATATTAAAACATCCAGCATAATTGAGTTACGAAGAAAGGGTTCTTCATCTACGCCAACTCAAAAATAAATTTATAAAAAAATACAAACTGCATCTCTTGTAGAATATATGTTATAATTAAAAATATAATTAAGATTTTAAACGCAGATATAATATTTTGTATGATAAATAACATTTAATGTGGATAAGTAGATATGTATATGGTGTTAACTAAAAACGTAATTTAGCGAGTTACAATCTATAAGAATATTAAAAAATTAGAAAAATAAAATAAAATATTTTAGAAAAAGAATTGCTCTAAAAAGTACGGGTTTAAAAGAAGTTCGGAGTTAATTAAATTATTTTCCTTAATTTTACTTTGGCGCTCAACTGAAAATCAGTTCTAGCTTGGATAGCCGTTTTACTTTTATATATTTGTGAATTTTTAGATTATGCAAATTATGATTATTAGTGGTAAGCTCAAATTATTAATAATGAAGGTCTTTTTGATTAGATATTCAAACAGGCCTGATTTACAATAAATTAATTTGAACTATTATTTAAATTAACATGATTGTCTTAATGATTCAAATTGTACAATTTATGTGAAATGCTGAAAGTATTAGTATTAACATTCAGTAAAGAAATATTGGTCTTATTAACTGACCATTTTCAAAACACTATTTATTGGTAATATTGTATTTAAAAATATTTTGTTTGTAATTTTCCTAATTAAAAAAAAAATGAAGTAGAAACACTAATCTAATAATTCATTACCCAACATTATTTAGGATAGATTTTTCATCATTAAGCTAATAATTTAGTATTAGCTTAAAATTCTTTGGAATTTTTTTGAACAAAATCTTAATAACATTCACACATACAGTCGAACCAGAAAGAACCATATTTACATTAAGTTGAATCTCTTTGCTGTATGTACCGAGGTTTCATGAGATGCAGATTGCTTTGTTTTTTATGTTATACCATAGTCCTGTGTCCCTTTGTTCCGACAAGCCTGTCTTAAAGATATAATTTGAAATCCAACTGGTCATATAGCCTCTAAAATTCTTGCCCGCTTCAGTATTTTCTTTGTTCTAGTGATTCTAAGCCTGTGGATCCTAGTTATATCGTATCTTAAGTATGGATGTCCTTTCCCAGTAATGCCTGGTCTTTGAGCTGGAGATGTGCCCCGGGGTGCCCACATATTTTCAGGGCTTATCAAAAGTTAGAAAGCCTATTATTGAAGCAACTGAATAAAAGTCACATTAAAAGGAATGCTATCTATAGATAAAGTAATATACAATGTCTTGAACATGTGTCATATTTTCTCCTGAATTATATTTTTATTTTTATGAGGGTGGGGTGAAATATCTAAGGCCACACAACAGAGCAAGAGTAAGACTTAATATTTTCTTCTAGTAGTGGCAACAATGGAAGCATTATCAAAATGCCCATTGAAGTCCGAGATGGGAGTTAATTACAAATGTTTTCTCACCCCTCCTTTAAAGGGCCTCTGATTGACAGTAGCAACCATCAAGTGATACTGCTTCTATGGTTCAGTAATCCTGGTCCATTTGAGCAATCTCCATTCATATATTCATCACAAGAAAGTGATGTTTGGTATTAACATAACAGAAATGGAGCAGAGAAGCCTAAAATTGTGATTAAGGTTCCCTTGTATCAGTTGGCCAACTTGCTTTTGAGGGGATTGATATGAAGCAATAAATGAAATAATAAAAGCCATTTTATCAGATTAATAAATAGAATGATTTTGGATTTTTATTATCTTCTATTGGTAATGTAATAATTCTGTTTATTTCTATATTCTATAACCTAAATATTATGTATAAGTCATTTCACACTATCATCTATATTTATTAATAGAAAGAATTTAAGGCGATGAGTGAAAATGATGTCTCCTCAAATCATTGCTAATTAGGAGTCTGAAGATTAGTTGTCTCTGTACTCTTTCAGACCAACTTGCCTTTTTTTTAGCATTCCATGTACAATTTGATCATGTGGTCTAAGCCCTCGCCCCATCTGGTTGTGACAATTGTGAACTAGTATCCCTACTTGTTCGCAACTTCTATCATCATCTTACAAACATTTTTAAGCTATCTGAACTTTTTCTTTGGAAAAAATATTAATCCTTGCGACGTAAGTTAATCTAATTTTTTTTTTTTAAAATAATTTCACTATCTGTCTGCAACATATTTATTTGTTAGCTTCCTTTTGCTGTTAATTGGTTTATAGTTGTACTCAGTTAATTACTAGCTATAGTAATAGTAA